GTTTAGACTTACCAAAGCATGACGTCAACCACACACACCATACAAAAATGTTCAGACTTACCATAGCATGACGTCAACCACACACACAATACAATAAGATTTAGACTTACCATAGCATGACGTCAATCACACACACCATACAATAAGGTTTAGACTTACCAAAGCATGACGTCAACCACCCACACAATACAATAAGATTTAGACTTACCATAGCATGACGTCAATCACACACACCATACAATAAGGTTTAGAATTACCATAGCATGACGTCAACCACACACACAATACGATAAGGTTTAGACTTACCAAAGCATGACGTCAACCACATACACACAATACAATAAGGTTTAGACTTACCAAATCATGACGTCAACCACACACACAATACAATAAGGGTTAGACTTACCAAAGCATGACGTCAACCACACACCCCATACAAAAATGTTCAGACTTACCATAGCATGACGTCATCCACACACACAATACAATAAGGTTTAGACTTACCATAGCATGACGCCAAACACAATAAAATCAACAGCAGGCAACCACACACACAATACAATAAGGTTTAGACTTACCAAAGCATGACGCCAACCACACAAACAATACAATAAGGTTTAGACTTACCATAGCATGACGCCAAACACAATAAAATCAACAGCAGGCAACCACACACACAATACAATAAGGTTTAGACTGACCAAAGCATGACGTCAACCACACACACAATACGATAAGGTTTAGACTTACCAAAGCATGACGTCAACCACCCACACAATACAATAAGGTTTAGACTTACCATAGCATGACGCCAAACACAATAAAATCAACAGCAGGCAACCACACACACAATACAATAAGGTTTAGACTGACCAAAGCATGACGTCAACCACACACACAATACTATAAGGTTTAGACTTACCATAGCATGACGTCAACCACACACAATACAATAAGGTTTAGACTTACCAAATCATGACGTCAACCACACACACAATACAATAAGGTTTAGACTTACCATAGCATGACGCCAAACACAATAAAATCAACAGCAGGTTGTAAACCTCCATATTTTTGTACATTTTACAATAATCTAGACGATTGTGTAAAACAAGGAAATACAAACATTTTCATAACCGTCGTATAGAGTTCAAAGTTCACAACCAGACTCCCATATGACATCACCCTAAGCTTGTACTTGTTTGAATAAGGAAATGTATACACGGAAACATTTAAGTTTCCTGTTGAGGGTTAAGGATGGTAACAAAACTTCATTTCACTGCTTCTTTTTTTACATAGGAATTTGTTGATCCCTTCTTTCGGAGAACATCTTCAAATTATCTTTTCATACAATGATTTGATGATATGGGATATTCACCGAGCACTTCAGTAATTGTATCAATAAGGATCACGTTTTGGAGAAAATAATTTTAAATCAACGCTTTAGTTATTACACTACAGTATCCTTATGATACAAAGTTATGCATTAGTTTTAGTCTAGAGATAATTTATGTTTAACTTCAAACACTATAATAAGACGTATCTTAAACTAAAATGCAGTTTGTGTTCACGTTGTCAAATCAGGCGCGAGCGAGGACTTTGTTTTCTATAAGTGTACATGTGTTGTTTGAATGTAACAGGTTGATGATACTTAATATGATGATCAATACTTCCTGTGTTACAATAGCTGGAGGACCATTTACAGGAAAAACAACTCTCGACATCCCATCTGACGAATAGAGGGACACTTACTATGTCTGTCAATAGTTATAGTCACATTAGGTCTGATCAGAACAAGAACATTTCGTGCATATCATCCGTCCCGTCAAGAATTATTGCTCACGCCCCAACACAATATTAACAAAATCAGTTGACTCCGACTGGTAACAACACCGCGGTCCAAAATATAGCCACAAACACGGCCTCGTCTACGGAGGACTTCACAAAATATTTGGTTGTTATGTATATGGAGGGTACTTCAACATCAATATTGTTCCAACGCCAGCCATCCAAGATCAATTAAACGAAGGGGAATCGTTTCAGACAGCGACAGCGACTTGTCTGGCCGGAACACATAATTAAGTGACCTAGATTGTGTTAAAAACATTGTCTCACTTGCATTACTCATAACAAACACGTATTTTCGATGTAAGTATGTAAAGTTAAACTAAAGTTGACAATTTGAATATTACTACTGTCAAATTATTTACAGATTTGGGAACTCATCGCATTATGTGGAATGATATTCTTATAGCTGTGATTTTGTTCCAATTGACAAAAAAAGAAAATTAAAGAAATAGTTTTAAATTGATTTGTGTCATTTGGCTTACAATGTACGTCATGTGATAAACAGGATCTCATTTGGTATTTACACTATGAGCTCGTTAAGAGTGGAGGAATGTAGAGTTGATGTGTCATCGATATCTGATGATCAAATAGCAACACCACCTATGTAAGTTATATGTTATTAATATCACTGTCAGAGATAACTCTGTTCTCTTATACTTTCTGCCAATTGCTTATCCTTACTTGGGACTGGAGACGCTGATGCCGTGTTTCATTTTACATGAGTTTCCTCCAATTAAACAGTTAGAAGTGAAGAACTGCGTGGTCTCATGGCTTCCTTAAATGAAAGTTAACGTTGTGTTTCCCCCAGAAAATAGTTTCCCATTGATAGGTTAAATATATGATAATTGTTGGCAGTAAAATAGGCTGATGTGTCAAAGATAACCAAGGCTTTGGAAATATAGGCAATGGTAAAAAAAATAAAAAGTTATTGTTTGTGTGACTAAACGTTGCAAATTTTAACAATACATGATAACAATGTATACTGGTGAAACTATCATCGCTTTTACTTTGCATATGGTGTCTACAAATCTAAGAATAGTTCAAACAGACAGAAGTGTATTTGCTTTTTATGTGAAGCACAAAGTAACTCATCGGATATCTTTTTGAATTGAAATGTATTAAGATTGACGATTGGTCTTGAATTAGTTTACTTCAAATATGGAGTATCCTCCGACATCCTGGTCGCGTGATGTCAGCTTATTATGAGGTAATCTGACATCTTTGTTTTGATGAAATGGAAAAAAAGTGTTGTGACGTGAGGCAAGACATTAACAACTTAACCGAGAGCATAGTGACGCTACCAAACATAAATGGCCTACCCGCGAGCGTACAAAACCTGGACTTCAATTGTCAAATAAATGCAAGGTTACCTAGATTGTTTATAAAATGATTCAGTAAAACTTAGTAACTGTTGTAATTGGCCTTGTGTGTCGATATTCCCTCCTGTAAAATAGACCATCCCCTGTTTATACTACGTGTGTTGTATATGTGTGCTAATGGGTGATCAAACTGATACGATTACCTATTGCATTACGTGTTTATATGAGATTTGCATACCGGATTGAACAGAGGGGCATTCATATTTAAAGAACGCTTGAAAACTGGTTTTAAAGTTGATTTTAATGTGATATCATGTGATGTCATGTGATATCATGTGATGTCATGTGATGTCATGACGTGATGTCATGTGATGTCATGTGAATGCGCAATTGCTTGTTTAAACTAGAACATTAAAGGGTCTGTTAAATTGCAATAGTCGCAGTGTTTACGTGGTTATTTTTAGTGGTATTTTGGAGAAGATATATACAGCTGTTTTTGGTGAAAAACAATGCGGAGAAATGATTATAGTGAATATATAGGTGATCGTGCAGACCTTAACTAGCTGTGTGTAAATGGCACCATGGACTAAAGGCATTACCTAGTCGACATTTAGAATACAGCTACTTGTATATACGGAACCCTGAGTGTGAGAGAAATCCGTCTACAAGGTCACCGTCTTTACTTCAAGAATTTGCTTTTACAAGTTATAATATATATCAGTTTTGATTTTGAAGTCATCTCATAAGGGACTGATAACCTATCTTTGAATCTCAAATCTTGAACACGTAATTAAGTCAGGCCTATATGTCTGTAGCAAGAGTAAAACGGCCATATCCTGTCCGTACCCATTTAGAATAAGCAAAAGTCAATGGCGGTAATTTTGGTATTTGATCATGCTGATTTAAATTGCAACTCAATAACAGTCATTTATATAATTAAAAAGCAATACTTGACAATAATGAGCCATGAACATGTGTTGTAGGTACTTCGATCCTCCTATTTTCTGATGCCTAAAATATAGTGTTTAACCCTGTTTAATACGAGTAATATAAACATACATGTATATAATATAGTTCCGGTCATATTCTCGCTTCACTCTTTTACATAATAAGATACAACCGTATGCTATATGGAAACTTGCTTTCCGTTTTCCACAACACAATTCATGTTTTAAGAAAGTTGTTAACTTGGTGTTGAAATGCGCAATAAGGAAAATATATATTTGTGTCATTACTGTGGTTCTGTACACAAAGATACTATCATGCATAGTGTACTTAATTGTTCACACACAGAGCTATTTCGTGACCAGCTCTGGTGTGTACTCAGTACTATAAAAGATATAGATTTCGTATTTTATCTTAATGCAATATATAATTACCATCTACTTCATGTTCTTCTTGGTGGTATTCTCAACTATGATTTATCTCCATATTAACTGGAGGACTTAAGAATAAAATCCATTGTTATTATTACTAAACTTCTTCAAAACAGTGCTATTATGTAATTTAACCTTAGACAATTGGATATTGTATACATAGTGTTAGGTATGTGACTACCAATTAACAGTTTGTGTACTTCACGCTTCATTAATATTGATACATGAAATACATTTTTGTATTCACATTAGTAGATAAGCATTTCCTACGTCTTTCCTGTTATACCATTGCACAATTAGGTTGCATGATTAGTGCAACTTACTGCTATCATAATAGTGTTTGTAGTGTATGAATTAATCTTGTGATGTGTATTACTACAGCTGAAATCATTGCATGGTTGCTATGTTCGTGTAAGTTAATGATACTATTGTATAATTGTAGCATATACGGCCTGTAATATGGTGTATTTCACACCACTGTATGACTATAGTGTATGACTTCGTGCAATTGGTTCTACTCAATGTAAGATTGTATTTTAAGAGTTATGTAACAGTAATACTGTCTTTACTAATAATGTTAATTTATTGTGTGATGCGTGTACTACTGTTTATAACAATGTTGTGTAATTGCTGAGTATGAAAAGTGTATACTGTATATACTATTATGTGATAATGTAGTATGAGGAGTGTAAAGATGTCTATTATATCAATATGTGATTTAATGTATGATGAGTGTTATACTGTCTATCATCATAATTATATCGTATGATAACTGAAATAGTACATATTATATCATTGTGTTGTGTTTATAGAACTGCATGGTATGATGCGTATACTATTATTATTCTATTATTTGTGTGTGTCTTTCCATGTGCATGTGTGTGTCACTATTTAAGAGTGTGACCATGAGCGTGAATACATTTTCTTTTCTTTCAGTAGTGTTCAAATTGTACGTGTATTGTTCTTTATTTCTGAAACTCTTCATTTTTTGAGGAAATACAGAAAATAACTATTTCATTCCGTTTTCATTTCGTTGCTGTTGCGTTTTCTTTGCATTTTCATTCCATTCCGTTTGTCAACTAAAACGCTGACACCCCTGTAGCAAGAGTAAAACGGCCATATCCTGTCCGTACCCATTTCAAATATTCAGTTCTAATAAGAAAAAGTCAATGGCGGTAATTTTGGTATTTAATCATTATGATTTAAATTGATACTTAATAACAATCATACAGATAATTAAAAAAAAAACTTGACAACAATGAGATATGAACATGTATTGTAGGTATCTCGATCATCATATTTGCTGATGCCTGGAATAGAGTGTGCAACCCTGTTTAATACCAGTAATATAAACATATATGATATAGTTCTGATCAATGTAACTCTCTTGTTTGTTTTTGTTTAACGACCCATCAACGGCTGTGATCATTTATGGCCATGCTGATTTATTTATCTATTTTACTTTTTTAAATCAGAGTAAAATGTTCATTTCTTAAAGCAATGTAACTCCCAACAATTTATGCCGTTATGTTGTATAAAAGATGAACATCCTCACAGTGAAATATATTGATTTAATTGTTGAAATGAACTGATGAATTTGTGTTTATTTTAACGAACTATATTATTTTGCCGGGAACG